AAATAAGAGGCCCAGAATAACCAAAGCAATCCTTAGCAAGAAAAGCGAAGCATCACAATACCAAACCTCAAATTATGCTACAGAGTAGTAACAAAAACAGCATAGTATTGCCACCAAAACAGACGAGAGGACCAAAGGAACAGAAGACACAGAGACAAACCCACATAAATACAGTTATCTTACACTAAAATGGAATAGTATCAAATGAAAAAGCTTCACAGCAAAGGAGACAATCCAGAGCATAATGAGAGAGTCTACAGAATGGGAGAAAATTTTTGTCACCTATACCTCAGATATAGTGTTAGTCTCCAGGATATATATATAGAACTCATAAAACAGGCTGGGGTTGTAGACCACTTACATAGTATGTATGAGGCATTGGGTTAAATTCTGAACATTGCATAAATATAAATAAAATAAAGGTCCATCAAGAACTTAAAAAGAGGACTGGGGATGTGGCTCAAGCGGTAGCGCGCTCTCCTGGCATACGTGCGACCCGGGTTCGATCCTCAGCACCACATACAAACAAAGATGTTGTGTCCGCCGAAAACTAAAAAATAAATATTAAAAAAAAAAATTATCTCTCTCTTAAAAAAAAAGAACTTAAAAAGAACTTGTAAAACCTAACACCACTAAAAAACAAATAACCCAATCAATAAATGGACAAAGGAGCTGAATAGGTACTTCATAGGAAAAAAAATGGTAAATGAACATGAAAAAAATGTTTAAAGCAATTACAAAAATACAAATTAAAACTGCACTGAGATTTCATTGCATTCCTGTCAGAATTGCTATTATCAAGAATACAAGTAATGGGGTTGGGGTTGCAGCTCAGTGGTAGAGTGCTTGCCTTGTGTGTGTGAAGCACTGGGTTTCATCCTCAGCACCACATAAAAATAAATAAACAAAATAAAGCTATTGTGTCCATCTACAACTAAAAAATATATATTAAAAAATGAATACAAGTAATGATAAATGTTGGCAAGAATGTGGAGAAAGGTATACGTTGCTGGTAGTACTGCAAATTGGTGCAACCTCTATGGAAAGCAGTATGGAGATTCCTCAGAAAACCTGGAATGGAACCATCATTTAACCCAGTTATCCCACTTCTCGGTATATACCCAAAGGAATTAAATTCAGCATACTACAGAGACACAGCCACATCAATGTTTATAGCCGTTCCATTCACAATAGCTAACCTGTGGTACCAACCTAGATGCCCTTCAACAGATGAATGTATTAAGAAATTATGGTACATATACACAATGGAATTCTACTCAGCAATAAAGAATGCAGTTATGGCCTTTTCTGGTAAATGGATAGAAATGGAGAATATCATGCTCAGAAATAAGCCAGACTCAGAAACTCGAAGATTGAATGTTTTCTCTCATAGATGGAAACTAGAATAAAATAAAGGGAGAGAAGGATAGGGTAACATAAAGGTATAGGGAAGATCACTAGTATAGAAAGAGATACAGAGGCAGACGGAAGGGATGGGAAAGGGGAGACCATGTGGAATTAATTGTTAAAGAACCATATTAAGTGCATATATAAATATATCACAGGGAATTTCACCTATATGTATACATAGAAAGAACTAGTCAATACAAATAGATGGGCTAAAAAATTTTCTCGCAGAGTAGAGAAAGTAGAACCATGTAGGAAAGGGGAGGACAGGAAGGACAAGGGAGGATTGTGAACTGCCTTGATGTTCTCTCTGTATATCTAAATTTCTATCTTATTTTAATGGTTTGTGAGGACAGGTTATTTTAGAGAAAACTAGTTTTCAAAACCACAAAACTTCACCTTGACTCTTACAAGCGGTCTTGTTCGTAAAACATATATCCTAAAGGATTATTTTTTGTTTGTTTCCTATATATATACTACAAATTAAAGTTCTCTTTGTATGACATAATAACTTTATGAGGAAACTGTGAAGTAAATACGCTATGTTTACTATAATTTTTGTAAATCTACATATTTATGTGTTGGCATTACCTGAAATATTTGCATCATCCTAATATTCAAGAGGCCTTTCTCAAAACACATGCTGTAATATTCTTAACAGGCTCAGAAATGATATCTTTGTTAAAGTATTTTTGTAATGATTAGATTTATAACTGCAGGATTATTCTGCATATCTAAGGGATTAATAGATGTCATATTTAATGTAGGACTTCTTTAATAGTTAGCCAGCATACCATATATACTTAAATGAAAATAACCTAATATTGGTCCATATACCTCAAAGATTTTTTTTATTTAATTTATTCTAATTTGTTATATATGACAGCAGAATGCAATTCAATTCATATTACACAAATAGAGCACAGTTTTTCATGTCTCTGGTTGTACACAAAGTAGAGTCACACCATTCATGTTTTCATACATATACTTAGGATAATGATGTTTAACTCATTCCACTGGCTTTCCTACCCACAAGCCCCCTTCCTTTTCCTCCCTCCCCTTTGCCTTATTTAAAGTTCATCTGTTCCTCCCACACTGCCCCCTGCATCCCCATTATGATTCAGCATCCTTATATCAGAGAAAACATTTGGCATTTGGTTTTTTGGGATTAGCTTACTTAATTTAGCATGATATTCTCCAACACTATCCATTTACCTGAAAATGCCATGATTTTATTCTCTTTTAATGCTGAGTAATATTCTGTTGTGTATATATACCACATTTTCTTTATCCATTCATCTACTGAAGGGTACCTAGGTTGGTTCCACTATTTAGGTATTGTGAATTGTGCTGCTATAAGTATTGATCTGGCTACATCACTGTAGTATGCTGTTTTTAAGTCCTTTGGGTATAAACCAAGGAGTGGGATAGCTGGTTTAAATGGTGGTTCGATTCCCAGTTTTCCAAGGAATCTCCGTACTGCTTTTTATATTGGCTGCACCAGTTTGCAGTCCCACCAGCAGTATATGAGACCTCAAAGATTGTTTATTATGCAATGTATCAAAAAACAATTTTAAGTATCCTGTCCTTGTGTAGTGTTTTTAAATTAACAAACAATATTTTTATACAATCAGAAGCTAATAACTCAATGTGTAGTAGACAATTTTGGTGAAGTTCAATAACTTTAAATATTTTAGACAACTTCTTGGCAGAATTAATTACATGATAATTGTTTTTACCTTGGAATGGAGAAAAAAGTCAACTTGTCATTACTTATTTTTGCCTCCATTTTTGGTATCATCATCTAGTTTTGACCTCTTTGCAGAAATCTTTTTTAAAGCGATATGTCTATTTGTGAGGAACTATTTAAAACTAAATCATGTTTGTAAATGTACTTTCCTGAACCTACGTCAACTCTAATGTGTTATAAACAAATGAGTGGGGACACTGCAGTCAATTTTCAGCACTGTTTCTATTCCTTCTTTTGGGGGGGGGGGTATTTGTCCTTTTTAGTTATACATGACAATAGAGTATATTTAGACATTTATACAAACATGGAGTGTATCTTAGTCTAATTAGGATCTCAGTCTGGTTGTACATACAGTGGAGACTCACTGTGGTGTATTCATATACATACATAGGAAAGTTATGTCAGATTCATTCCACTGTTTTTCCTATTCCTTCCCTTCATTCCCCTTTGTCTAATCTACTGAACTTCTATTCCTACCCTCCACCCTTTGTTGGGTGTTAGCATCCATATATTAGAGAGAACATTTAGTGTTTGTTTTATTGATGTGGTGCTGGGGTTGTGACTCAGTCAGTGCTTGCCTGGCATGTGTGAGGCACTGGGTTTGATTCTCAGCATCACATATAAATAAATAAAATAAAATAAAGGTCCATCAACAACCATATATATTTAGGGAAAAAAAAAGTTGATGTGGCTGTGTCTCTGTAGTATGCTGATCTTGAGTCCTTTGGGTATAAACTGAGGAATGGGATAACTGGGTCAAATGGTACTTCCACTCCAGTTTCTTTGAGGAATCTCCATACTGCTTTACAGAGTGGTTGCACCAATTTGCAGTCCCACCAGCAATATATGAGTGTACCTTTCCTAACATCTTTTATTCTTGATTATTGCCATTCTGAATGGAGTAAGATGAAGTCTCAGTGTAGTTTTAATTTGCATTTCTGTAGTTGCTAGAAATGTTGAACATTTTCTTAACACTTGGCCATCTGATGTTTGAACTGTGAATATTGTCCCAACATGAACTCTTTTACATTGCTGCAACAAATATAAATTGACACAGTGACTTCAGAGAATAGTAATGAAATATCTGTAAAGCTGAAAATGTGCATCCTTTAATCTGCAGTTTCTACTTCTCTGTGTCTGTCCTGGAAAAGCTCTCATATATAAGACATGTGCAAGGATATTTGTTTCAACATTGTTCATGATAACAAAAAAAGTAAACTGTCTCTTAGTAGGGGAATGATATTTATTTGTATAATGAGACATTTTATAGCAGTAAAAATGAATTATTTTCTTTGATCGACATATATCTCAAAATCATAATATCACATGTAAGTTTTAAAAGGGTTAATATCATGTAATCCCTCTGTTTAAGCATATTAAACTCAAACAGTAATGCATATCATTTAAGTGTGTGAATATTTATTTCAAAGTGCAAAGTATACGTGAAGATCATACTAACTTTATGACAATGACTACCTTGGGGTGTAGATTAAGTTGTATATGTACCATTTTAATTTCTTAGAGGAGAATGTTTCCATTTGAAGCAAATATGGGAAAATATCATTCTCAGTGGTGCCTATTTAGATGTCTATTCTTGTTCATTATTTAGAGTGTATTTTCAGTATTATACATTGAAAATAAAATATTTACATGCTATTTTATGTCAAGTAATAATCTAACTGAAACAAAATGATTTTTACTTATTGTATTTTATTCTCATGTTTCTAATTTGGTCTTTCTACTTTCAGACCCTTAAATATACCTACCATAAATAGTCTAGAAGTCGAATTAATTGTCAATAAGTGAAGATTATTTATATAAAGTTATTTTCTTCATTTTATAGGGAAAACATCAGAGAGAGGCTCATTTTCCCTGTACAGCAGAGACACCGGATTACCAGGCTGTCAAGTAAGTTTAGTGAATTAAAAAAAAAAAAAATGAGATAAGTTTTACACACCTAAGCAAAGGCTTTCTTAATAATAGAGAAGTTAGGAATTTATCTACATTATTTCACCATTATTTCTTCATTTAAATTTTTACTACATGTGGTGGTGTTTTAGCAGTTAAATATATTTTCTTTACTGTTGCTCCCTCCCTTCCCCAATTCCAACAGACTGGCTTTATCATCAACAGTTTTCATAATCCACTTCCATTTTAACTACAAACAAAATAGCCAAAGTTCTACCCATTTCTAAAATGCTTATCAAAGCTAGGCACGGTGGTGTGTACCTGTAATCCCAGTGACGCAGGAGCCTGAGGCAGGAGGAGGATCATTAGTTTGAGGCCAGCCTCAGTGACTTAGATAGACCCTGTCTCAATAATAAAAATTTTAAAAGGGTAGAGGTCAGGGGATATACTCAGTGGTAAAGCACTCTGAGGTTCAATCCCCACTACTAGTAAGTAAAGTAAAATGTCTATTATTTCTGAAGGTGGTTTTTAATAATTCCCCATAGAAAAACAAAATTGCCGGTATGTAATATGAAGCATATATGATTAATCTCAATAGCTTGAATATCTATAATGTCAAACACACAGTTAACATTAGAAGTATTTTCATTTCTGTGCTGTATGTCACCAATTTTTTAGGTTTCCATCTTTGACTTAGAAACTTTGTTTTAGCTTCTCTACATTCATCACATGTTGCATTTCTGCTAATGGCCATTTTCTCTGCGTTTTTCCCCCTATCTTTTCACTGAGAATCCTGAACTTTAAATTCACCTGCAGATTCCCTCAGAATCAAGCCAAAAACAATAAAAAGGAGAGGCAGCATATATTGTTTGCTGAGAACTTTCCTATTTAAAGAACTTCTAAGGATAAAAATTTATCTCTTTCCATTACAGGAATATATTTATACTTAGAACATTTTCATAAGCATTCTTAGTTTAGTTTCAGATTTTTTTTTTCATATTAACCCAGGTAATAAAACCACTTTCCTTACAATGAAAAAAAAAATATATTGTTTATATCCATCTGCATTCTTCTTGTGAGACCTACTTGGATTTTAGACATGAGCATATGAGCTATTCTTAACTGTTATGTATCAAATGGAGTATTATTCATATATCTCATAATTGTATCATTATCTTTAAGGGAGTTTTATGTAAGATTCTTTTTTATGATATGTCTTCCTATTATAAAATAATGTATTATAAAAACTGAAGATCATCTTGTCTTTCCAATTCCTGGCAAACTCAATGGAAAGGTGTGTTCTGAAATAAGTAATTTTTTGACTACAATATTCCCCCTGTATCCATGGTCTTGCTATCTGTGACTTCAGTTGCCTACAATCAGCTTCAATCTGAAAATTCCAGAAATAAGCAATTCACAACTTTTTAATTACATACTATTCTGAGTAGTGTGATAAGAATATTATTTTGTTCAACCTACCATCCAAATTATCCCTTTGTTCAGTGTATCCACACTGTATACACTACTTGCCTATTAGTACTTAGTAGCCATTTTGGCTTTCAGATTCTTTATTGTGGTATCTCAGGGCTTTTCCAGGTATGATGGTGTACACCTATAATCCCACCCTCTTGGGATTACAGTAGCTGAGGCAGGAGGATTGCAAGTTCAAAGCCAACCTCAGCAATTTAGCAAGACTCTGTCTCTAAAACAACAACAACAACAACAACAAAAACAGGCTGGTTGGGAGTGTAACTCAGAGGTTAAGTGCCCTTGGGTTCAATGCCCAATACCAACAAAAAAAAAAAAAACACCTTTTTTTTTTCATGGTGCTAATAATTGTTACCTTCTTTTCCATGTATTTGTTAATACATTATTTCATTAGAGTTATTTAAAATATATAGATTTCTGTTATAACCAGTGTTATACCTTATCAGCTCTTACCAACTCACAAAACCCAAACTTTCATCATATTTATAGGAATATTGCAAGGTGATTGATATCACTTTTCAAAATATTTTGTAGATGTTGATGGGCCTTTATTTTATTCATTTACTTATATGTGGTACTGAGAATTGAACCCAGTGCCTCACACATGCTAGGCTAGTGCTCTACCACAACCCCAGCCTCATATCACATTGATATCTTAAAATAGAATATCATGAAAGTATTTAACACTGTGGAAATTAAAAAAAAAAAAAAAAACTACAAATTGAGGATTGGGGTTGGTTTGGTTTTTGTTGTTGTTGTTGTTTCATTTTTGTTTTTAACCAGTTGTTAATCATTTACCAGCAAACCACTCATGAAATTACAGGTTACACAAAGGGTACTGGAGGTTTGATCCTTAATACCACATAAAAATAAACAAATAAAGGCATTCTGTCCATCTACAGCTACAAAACAAAACAAAATTTTTTTTAAACTTATAGAAAGGGCTGGGGTAACACAAAGCTAGAATGCTAGGCAGGCATGCACAAGGACCTTGGTTTAATCTCCAGCACCACAAAAAAAAGCAAAGCAAAAGTTATAGAAGACCAAAAAATGTAAGTACCTATTCAAATCACAGTGGGTCAGGAGAAAAGCAGCAGTTGAACTTGTTTTTTGAAGAATGACAGTACCGAGTTAGACTTACTGTTTTTTTCTATGTAATTTTACCAGTATCTATTGATAAGAAGCATGATGTCCTCTCTTCTGAGCCAGATTAAATGTGGATCAGTGTTTGTCATATTTCTGTTTATAATTGGTAGGAGAACTCACTGTTTTAGGCTACAAATTATTTTTTGATTTTATAGTCTAAATTTGAATTTTTTAATGAGTTGGTTTGCACCTTGATTCTTATTTTTAATCTTAGCTACATCACTCTCATCAGAATTTTGCACGTCACTTAATCATCACTGATCTTCTATGAATAGGTTGAAAGCAAACCAAAATTTTAAAATCTAATTTACATCATTTTAACAATAAATGGTAAAAAATAACTACAAAGAGTTCTATAGTTTTGAAGTGCTCTGCAAACTGCCATTGTAAATATCATCAAGTAGACTTGTCTCCTAGCCTGCTTCAAGGCCTTAAAATTTTTTTCACCAAAATCTCAGATCTATGGTAGCAGTTTGGTCAGTTAATATTGAATCTTGTCCTTATAGTTTTTATTTATTACTTATCACATATATGAGATTGCTAGTCTCATTTCCTAATGATATAATAGAACATAAGTAAATATAAGTTGAATATAGTAAGAAAAAAAGGAATGTAAGATTTAGAATCAGTAGACCTAGATTTAAATCCTGTCTCTGTTTGATTCTGTCATATGAAAAATATGATCAGCAATTTCTGCTTCTATATACATTGTGGGTCTAGGAAGGTTAAATTAGTGTGCTTATGAAGAGAAATTCATATTTCTCTTCAGACATCTCACATACTAAAATGTCTGATAAGTGCCTAATATTATTTCCAAGATATCTGTAAGTTTGAGAGCCACTGGTCTGATGTCAGTGTCACTGTTAAACTTAAGGAAAAAAAACTATTGTAAGCATTTTGATACCATAGCTAGTTAATCATAGTTAATGCTTTTATTAATGAGTTCTCACATTTCTCCCCTCTTAACAAAGGTATTACTATTAATTAAAATTAATGGTAACCTCTACTTACATAATTTTCCTGTTTTGCTAAGGTGAATCTTAATAGTTTTTGCCAAGGTTGATATGCACCTACACCAGATTTAATTCTCATATTTAAAAAAAAAAATTATTTTAAGCCTAGGTACATACCACTCTAATAACAGTAAATAGTAAACCTAAACCCATGTATGAGGTTTTTAGCTATGATATGACTAAACTGCAGCAAAACACAAAATTCCAAGTCTATACTCATAACTCCTTCCATTTTAATTTATTTGGTTGAGGAGAGGTTGGGAATTCATACGTTTATCAAGTATTCCCAGAAATTCTAATTCACATGGCCTGGGTTTTATGAATTGAGAAACCCAGCTTTTCTGTATATTCCAAATCTAAGGATATATGGGATATAAAAACAAAAGAAACCATAAAATTACTCTTTGAGAACTATTTATAAACATTTTAGAGGCCAGCAGGCCTATGGAGATTAGAATAAGGTTATTGGAGTGTATGATGGTCAATAACAATACATATTGCTTTATACAAGATTTAAAGATAGTCAAGAATGATTCATTTTTTGAAAAATTGAAAGAAGCAAGCATGACCCAGAGAAGAAGCCCCAAAATTCAGCAGAGCAGAGAGAAGACTGTACTGCAGCAAGGACAGACAGCACCAGTGAGGACAGGAGGGCTCTTAAAATAAGAAAAAGAATTCATCACTGTGAAAGAAACAATGGCTTAGCTATTTATTATTGTTACTTAGCTCTGACTGCTGCAATTGCTGGCAGAAATTTTGATAGATGACACCAGCTGACTTGGGGCCTGAGTAAGTAAGCTCAGGAAATTGAAGACTCAGAAAAAAAAAAAAAAAAAGTATATTACTTCCATTCAAAGAAAACCTGTATTCCAAACAGTATTCGTTATTATGGATCAGAGAAGGAAAAAAACACACTTAATTGGCTGCCATTTTGTCTTTTCTGTTCACAAGTGACAAAAATTCAAGGAAATATAAATTAATGACTATAAAATTATATCCACATACCACCTTGAAGCCATTTTTCTTCAACAAAATCCCCCAAGAAGCATTAACTCTGCTATTAATGTACATAAATGCAGCTGACGTACTGCAAAATTCAGGCTAATTTAATAATGCCTGATGGGCCTTACTTCATGTTAAGATGATGTAATAATATGTTGCTAAATGAGTCTCCTCATATTACCTTCACGTCAGTCTTATAACTGATGGGCCATTAAAAGGAAACTGGTGTAGCAGTGTTACCGGAAACATTGATAGATTATTCTACAATTGAATTTTTTTTTAATGGATTCAGTACAGAACTTAGAACCCATCATCTTTACTAAAAATAGGTATTTACTTTTAAAACTGCTA